CCCCCCCCCCCCCCCCCCCCATATACCTGGGCAGTTTACTTGTCTTTGGCAGGAAAATCTCCAAACTAAGCTGACTAGACCTAGTGGTCTTGGATACAATGGATACAAATAACTGACATGGACCTCTGCCCAGCTTTTATTACTAAAATTCAGTATCCTGTCTGTCCCACACTAAGTTCCAGAGTCAGTGTAGTAGGGTGCATGGCCAACAGTGGCACTATATAAATCTAAAACAGAAATAGCCAGCACTCCTTAAACACTATGAGGTGTTCAAAGCATATATTTGCAGCCAATCTATATAGAAGCTACACTGCCCCATCAAGGCCCTTCTGTATAATGTGGTCCCTAATCTAACAAAGCTTCCAACGTAGGACAGGCACAGCAATGACTAAAGATAGATATGCCTGGAGGTAGCCAATTCCTTTTTAGATGTGCAGATATACACTGAGAGTCCAGTACAGCACACCTGCAGCTTGGGACTGGTCAGCCCAGCGCCCCGGAAGTCCAGAGCGGGAACAAACAACCGAGTGTGACAACACTGCTCCTGTTGGAAGACACTGACAGCGAGTGTTGTCACCCTCTGACAGGAAGTGACTGGAGAAACTCTACACACTGAACAAATAATATTCTGCCAGGCAAGGTAACATATATACATTTTTATTTGAGTTTAGATACCCTAAAAAAGCAAGTACCTAGACATGTGTTAGTGTTTAGAAACCTATAGATCTACTCACTAGATTGTGTTCTGCAGAATGAATGAAGACAGCCTAGGTTATATGGTAAATGCCGCCTCTTTGTTTTGTGCCCCAGGTGAACGATTTTGCCCTGGAGTAGGGCAGGTGTCGGCCACTGATGAGATAAAGCGGGAAATCATCCACCAGCTCAGCATTAGACCTATGGCCCACAGTGAAATGGTCAAAGCCTTGCCAGAGGATGTAAGTGTGACACAATTTTAATTACTATTTATTTATCGTCCATTGAGGAGCACCGGAATTCTTAGTCTGTTGGGTTATACTGCCGCCTACAGCAGTGTAACCGGATAGTCTAAGGATTTTTGTGTCCCTCAATGGACTTCAAGAAAAGGATTTTATGGTGAGTACAAAAATCCTATTGTTCCTTTGTTGTCCCGTGTTGAAAAGTGATGAATATATATCGCACAATGTCTGCTTAGGGTTGCAGTGTACCCATCCGTCACAGTAGAAATAGCCACTTTTCCCAAAGTTCATCTTATGGTAAGAGTCCGGGGTGGGGGCAAATAACTACAATTCTACTTTAAATGTTAAGTACTTCTCACTGCAGTACTTCCTATCTGTGGCTGTGCCCCTCCTGCTCACCACTCTTGTATCCAGCGTCAGTCCTCTTCCAAGTTGAATGACACCCAGTGCTATTTAACCCACTTCCTGTGAGCCCAGGGTGTCATGGAAACGCCCCCCTTGAGTTATGTCATCAAGCTGCACTAGACTCACAGGTGTATACTGCAGGGAACGACGCTTAAATCATTACTTTGGTTCCAGTCTCTTCAGCTTTCAGAACTAACCACAAAGAAATGGGCGGGGGGGGTACCCTTCCTGTTCACTTTAAATGTTAAAGTAGTATTAAGGTCTGGGCGTTTTTTACCTTAATGCATTCTCTGCATTAGGGTAAAGACAACCCAGGACCTTTTTTTTTTTTTTAACCCCAGCCCCCCCCCAGTCTCTCCCACACTTACCTCCCAGCTGCGCTCATCCCTGCCGCCGGGACCGAAGCTATCCTCCGTACCCCCAACTTCCGGGTTGCGGGGAGCATACTGATGGCAGAGGAGCCATTGGCTCCTTCTGCCATCAATCAAAGAAGTAAGGGGTGTGGCCTGCCACTGGGCTGTGTGTGTCTATGGACGCACACAGCCGCAGGGCGGACGAGTGCGCACGGGTGCCTCCATTAGAACGGTGGTGGCACCTGTGCAGGGGGCGGTGGGAAGAGCATGGCGGGGGGACACTACAAAACGAGGAAAGAGGTACTTTAAAAAAAAAAAAACAGCCTCCAGCAAAGGATGGTCTCCTTGAAGGAGAAATGAGAAAAAAATGTTGGCTTTAATATCACTTTAATTTTGGAGGTGTTAAGGGTTAAGTGTTATGGCCTCATTTTATGGTGTAGTATTAGGTAGTGCTTTAGTGTAGGAGCTAAAAATACTGCTATTCCCTCTGGTTCCCATCACAGGTAGCCTTGTGCTGAAAACTTGTTAGTAAACATTACATTAAGAATACTAAATATTTGCTAACCAAAAATACAGTTCACTGTTCTTTTAACGTCAATTCTGCCTTTAGGCCCTGTTCACATTATTTTCAGGTCCGGATCAGGTGCGGATCTACAGACGCGGTGCTATGTGTTTAGCTGTGTTTTGGCCGCGTTTTTGATGCGTTCCAGTAAAAAATCTTTTTTTTTGCTGTAGTGCAGCTGTCAGTATGTTAGCTGCAGTGCAGTGCGTTTTTGACGCGTTTTGCGCTTCCTGACCGTACAAAATGTGACATGCAGTATTTTTTCTGTCGTAACCTGAACGGACTGCGCACTTGAGAACTGTAGCCCATAAAACACATAGGGATACATTGGGATGCATTTTTAGTGCAGGAGCGTACAAATCGGGTCAGCACAGAAAACGGACGTTGTATGAACAGGCCCTTAGTCTTTAGGCATTTCCTGGGCTTTCCCAAACATGTGATCACTGGGCTCGGCTGTCTCAGTGGTCACATGATCATTAGACCGTACTATCAGCTCTCCATTATTAACAGTGACTGGGGATACACAATTAATGGCTCTCGTAGCATGAAACAGCAACATTGGCTGTGTGCATGTATGTAGGAGCACGGTGTTTAAGCCCACCACCATGCCCCCACATATATGCATACGGCCAGTGGGAAAGGGTAATGAAGATCTGTACAGACTGTTGTGTTCACACGCAGATGGTGCCTTCTTTCGTCATATCGCCCAACTTCCTCTCTGCAAATTAGCACAGCAAACAATGTTCATGCATTTACTGTTGAAGTATTCTGCACACAAACAACTAAGATGAAATAATAAAATAATACACATATGTAGATGAATCGTAGGATACTATTGGCAGGCTTTTTTTAAGGGCAGCAGGTACTGTGTGATTGACATGGTTTAAAATGCCTTTATATTGCTTTATATCGTGTTAATGACTTTCTTTCTTTGAAATGACAGGAGAACAAAGAAACAGGAATGGAGCAAGTGATTGAAACAATCGCGTCTTTTAAGTAAGTTGAGTGAGTAACTAAAACCTTTTGTGTCACTTTATCCCAGCTTTCTATCTTATGTGTTTGTCTTTGTTGTTTTCTCTTTTAAGAAAGCCAGGCTTAACAGGAAGAGGCCTGTATGAGCTGAAGCCCGAGTGTGCCAAGGATTTTAACCTGTTCTATTACCATTACTCCAGAGCTGAGCAGTCTAAGGTAAATGCTGTGTTATTAGATATGCGTTTCTCATTCGACAGTGCAGAACAACCTGTACTAAGCAATAGTACTTTAAAGTGGATCTGAACCCAATCACGAAAATACCATATAAGCTTTAACGTGCAAATACCATTTCATAATTTGATCATAGCAGTAGGTAGTGTCTTGTACCATGTTAGCCATCAAATAATGCAGAAAGCTTGGCGTTTACATGATACCCTTTATTGGTTAATGTAAGATAATTAAAGGAGAACTATGGGGTAAGTGTTTTTCCCCATAGTTCTTCTCAGGGTCACGGGAGGACAAACTAGTGTCCTCCCGTGATCCAAAGCTCAGTATACGGGGAGCTGTAGCTCCCGGTATACTGAGACCGCCGCAGATCATTACTGTCGAGATCCACCCAGCTGCATGATTGTCAGCTGGCTCTGCCTATCTAGAGCTGATCTGCCAGTCAGCGCTGGAGGGGAGGGTGTAGGGAATCCCTGCGGGGAGCCGTGAGTGACAGTCACGGCTCTCTGCAGGGAGATGATCGAGAAGTGAGCAAGCGATGGTATGTGTTCGCTCCCTTCCCGATCTATTGAGCTGACATGTGACAGTTTCATTGTCACACGTCGACTCGAACTATGAGGCTGAGTGAAAATCACTCACCTCATAGTTCTCCTTTTTAAAATGCAAGCTTTCAGGATCCCTTCCTCCTGTCTTCATAAGAGGCTGAAATGGTAATGAAGCCCACATATTGATACATAGAGGAGCAGTGAACTATAGTGACTTAAACAATTAAAACTATTTTGTGGGTCAAGAAAAAATAGTTGTGTTTTTTCAAAGTTAAAATGAATTGCTCTTTGTAACTCCGTATGTAAATTATGTGGGTTTTTAAAACCATTTTAATAATTGTATAAAAGCCTAAAGAAGGGATTTGTCATCCCAAAAGATTGCGTCTTTCTTATTTTAGGTTAGCTAAGAAAGGGTATCCCAAAAGCTGGCCACACACAGCTTGACTTTCGTCCAATTCTTGCCATTGGTAGCTCGGTCAGCACCACCCAGCTCCACAAATTAGTTATAAAATCAAAGGAGACCGGTGGAAATGTGTCAGCCAAACAGTGACGTCTTCCTATCGGATGTAGTAACTTTGGGTATTGAGGCAGCCTTGGGTTCTGGAGGCTGGCTAAATAAGTAGCCAACAGTGGAGATTCCGCCATACACATTTTTTAGTGTGGGTAGGGGAATCCCTTCCTCAGGGCAACATCGTGAGGTCACTGTGCTACCCTGAGGAAGGGATCCTGCGCTGCACCAAAAAGTTTTTTTGATGCTCATCAATAAACGAGTACTTTTGCACCTTGAAGTACTGTGGATCAACACTCCGCCATCCGTGGTTTTTACAAGCACCACCATTTTCATTTTGGTGGCAACGCTGTATAGCATGCATCTGGTAATTTCCTCCTTGACAGCCAGGCACCTAGCATTTCCAGAAGGCCTCAATAGCAGCATCCATGTTTCACTCATGAGAGGTTTGCTTTCATTTTTTATTAACAAAGCCAAATGACGCCAGTTATCTTCCTTTCACCACACATGAAATGTTTAGAGGATGGTGTTGACTTCAAGCGATCTGCTATACTAGCCAATAAATAAAAAGTACAATTTCGCTAAGAAGTGATTTATTCATTTGTATATCGCTGACATTTGCTTTGCAGAGCCCTTAAAGTGCTCACATCAGTCGCTGCACCAATAGGAGCTTTCCCTTAATGTCCCTACAATGTACACAAGCCAATGATACTACCAGCCCTGCAAGCACCAACTGGTTCAACAAAAGTAGATTTGGGAATTGACTGAACTAGGTGGAAAATTATCGGTCAAACAGTGACTGCATCTTATCAGATGCATTCGCTATTCAGGCAGAGGACTAATCTAGTGTATGGCTAACTTAAAGTGATATGAAAGGTTTTGTTATTTCAAATGCTTATTAAATTACTTACAATGGATGTTTCTTCTTGATGATTCAAAGTTTTAGCTTCCGGCAGAATCAGCCTGTCCTCTGAGCAGTGGCCCTGATATCCGGTTTTAGGATGGTTCCTTTCCCTTGCAGGGTCCTATGGAGCCACCCTTGTGTGTGCTAGAAAGCTGTGTGTGTCTCTACAAATACATAGGCACAGCAAGGCAATTGGTTCCCCACTCCTCCTTCCTCCCTCCTCCCTTCTGCAAGCTAGTAGATGGACAGCTGCTGGAGACTGTTCTATGTTTTGCTCCCTCGCCGGCTTTAGCAGTGAGGCATGTCTTATTCACTGCCAAAAATGCTGCGAGAGAACCCCTGCCTTATTCCTCCAGCCAGCAAGGGAGCAACACATACCACCAAGTGAGTGTTTGACTGCCTGTATGTTTCCTCCAAAGCAATCCAGCCACTGGTAACAGGATCACTAGTTAGATTTGGGGACTGCCCATCAAAGGACTAATGTGGAAGTCTAGGAGACTGAACAGGTGGAGCCAAGCTTGACTTTTACAGTTAAAGTAAAGACTTGCATGGTAACTATGCTCAAGCATCTGTTCATCAGATCCGCAGTTTGCTTTGCTCAGGTATCTAACAGTTTAAGTAAATCCATGAAAATGCAAACGCATGTAATAACTCTAGAAATGGTCTTCCTTTCGGCAGGCTGAAGAGGCCCAGCGTAAACTGAAGAGACTGAATGAAGAAGATACAGGTACAGGATAGTCCACTATTCTCTCATCTAATTTAGTAGGCTGTAGTTGTGGGAGCCAATCAAAACCGAGTTTAATGTAAAGTATTTTTAAAGATGCTTCTGAAATTCTGTGTTCTATGTTCTACTTGTGTGTTTGTTAAGGAAGTATCGCCTTCAAGTATAAATCATTGTGAAGTTCCTCAGGGGACCAAGTGCATGGAGCACTTGGTCCCGTTCTTATTCATGGTTGCAGCGTGCATTAAAAGGGCATCTTTATGTTTCTGCAGGATGTCAGGTCCACCCCTGAAGCCCAATATATGGGTGTTCCTATGGGGGATCTACAGCACAGTAGCCACTGCCCCTTCTCTCTGTAGAGCAATGTTCTTTTAGCCCCCATCTTGTTGCATAAATAGCCAGATATAGCCTATATAATTGGAGGGTAGCCCATTCCTCTTTAAAAGGGACAAACCAGAAGCCCAGCACATCACAATGGCAGCTGAAGCCCCCCCTGTGTCTCCACACCAAATCCAACAAAACAAATATGGCAACCGCACAAATCAATTCTTAACTAGCTTTTAAAGTGAGGTGAGCATGGAAGGGCTTTTGACAGTAGAAAACACAAAAGGTCCCAAGCACACTTCCCAGCTAGCCTGCAAAAAAATAAACATGTTTTACAAATGAACAATTTGCATTAGAAACATTTGAGCAGCGTGGTTAGAACAGCAGTGTGGGGAGGGGGGGGGGCGAACTGTCGACCATGTTAGAACATCAATCATAGCACGGATCAGAACAAGACTAAGTGCTGCATGCATTCAGTTCCCTCAGGGATTCAACATCATTTTTCAAGTTGTGGTGATGCTTCTTTAAACATCCTGGACTTCATGTATCAGAACAATGATGAATGGAAGAATTTAGTTATACTTGCAATGTTTCTTTGATGTATGAGGACATGTCTAGTGTAATTGCACTGAAGTTAAAAAAATATATATGTATTTTCTGTTGCAGCTTTGCCTCCTCCCGTGCTGCCTCCATTTTGTCCTCTTTTTGCCAGCCTCATTAATATTCTCCAATCTGATGTCATGCTCTCTATGATTGGAACTATTCTTCAGTGGGCTGTAGAACCCAATGGATATTCTTGGTCTGAGGCTATGCTACAGAGGGTAAGCAGAGACTCCATGCCCAATAGTAATATTTACTACACATGCACCAGTTTAAATTGTATTTGAGGGTCATGCTCTCTATTAATGAAAGCCATATACGTCTTCACTCCTTACTGTAAATATTCCTCCATTGTTTCACAGCCATCCGGCTTCACATATAATGGTGCAGGTTTGTTTTGGTGGCATTATTTTCAATGGCATCCCAACTTACTAATCCGGTGTACCTGGGTTGGAGTTCACCTTAACACATGATAATGCACAATCGTCCTTTGTGCTGCACTGTGTCAGCAAAAATGGTGCAGCTGAAAGGAGAACTATGGGGTTAAAGCTTTTCCCCATAGTTCTCCTTAGGGTAACGGGAGCACACAAACTAGCGTCCTCCCGTCACCCTAGGCTCAGTATACCGCGAGCTGTAGCTTGCGGTAGCTCGCGGTATACTGAGACGCCGCAGTATACAGCGAGCTGCTGCTCGCGGTATATTGAGACGCCGCACCTGAAGCGGATCCCGACAATTAAGCCGGGATCCGCCTAGCTGCGTGACTGACAGCTGGCTCTGCCTATCTGGAGGCAGAGCCAGCTGTACCCGCCCCCTCCCCCGTACGTTCCGCCAGTCAGCGCTGGCGGATCGGAGCAGGGAGGGGGGAATCCAGCCCCTCCCCTGTCACAGCAGAGAGCCGTGACAGGATCGAGAGGTGAGCGAACGCCGGTATATGTTCGCTCACCTCCCGATCTACTGAGCCGACCTGTGACAGTCTCATTGTCACAGGTCGGCTAGAACTATGAGGTGAGTGAAAAGCACTCACCTCATAGTTCTCCTTTTAAGGTCTCTTATGGTCTGTTGGGAATGTGTTAACATGAATGGGCTAACACGACACATGTTGATGCGTGGCATTGCATGCGTTATTGCACTGCATAGGGCCTTCGACTTGTGCACCTGCTTGGTGCCTATTCTTTACATAATTGCTCAAGTCACACAATGACAATTTTCCGTAGTGGGATTGCTATTATCTTCGCTTAGCCATAAATGTATGGCATGTCTATAGCACTTTTCCTCCAAGGTACTTAGACCTTACACATGCAACGCCCGTAAAGAAGGTAAAGTGCAAGGTAGTATTATTTCGTCAGTGCTATTGATTTGCCGCTTTGCCTTCCATACAACCATTGCAAACCACTGCATACCTATATCATCTAGCTGATAAACACAGAGACTCTAAAACTTTAAAGAAAAGTTATAAACAAAACCATTTGGAAGATAAAATGGTACATAAAGTGTTAATCCTGAAACATGAAATCATAAATGCTTTCTTTCTCTATAGTTTGGACACTGGTTATCCATTACACACAATGCAATTTTACCAGTGGACCCTTCCTACCATACACACAATGCTAGGTTAGAAACTTGGATAATGGGCAGTGATTTGTGATCTACAGTCCAGACTTATGCTCTCAGGCAACGCCTAGTGCACATAACCTGTAATAAGAAAGCTTACTAGAGATTTCTCCCTAATGGCATTCTCATTCTACCATTGTGAAGGTTCTGCATTTGATCGGAATGGCGTTACAGGAAGAGAACCAGCAATTACAGAACGTCAGTGAGGACAACGTTGTCACCTTCACTTTCTCCGAGAAGATCTCCAGTAAGTTATGAGAGATGAAAAATATATTGCTGTTTGTAATACTAAGGTTAACCACGCCTCCACAAAGAGAGGAATCCGGCCGCACACTGCTTGGACTCTCTGGAAAACATCTTTATTCAAACTTGCACCGCTCAGCACAGTCTTGCCTTTTGGTCATCCTTACAAACGCATTTCATCCTATCCAGGGCTTAGTTATAGAGCTCTAGAAATAAGCCCTGGATAGGGTGAAATGCGTTAGAGGGGCAGAGAAGGGGGGATTGTGCTAAGCTGCAAAACTTTAAAAACGTTTCCCACTTTTTGGCCACTTTTTTTGTTCTAAATGTACAATAATAATAGAAGTAGTCTCAGCTGCGTATATTTGCTGACATATATGTGGAATCCATGTGCTGCTCTCTAGTTTCTTAGCCAAGTGTGCTCCTTTTTAAATTATTTATTTTGCTAGCAGTAAAATGGTCTCTCCCAGTTGAATCATTTTGCTTAAGTTGATGATTTTCCCTGTTAGCTGGCTTCTGATCAAAGTGAGTGTGGTAGAGATTTTCAGTGTATGTCCCTGTGGGTGGGGACTGATGTTGTTGTTTGTTCTCTGGTAAACATTTCATACTGTGTAATTGCTATAATAATTTAGGAAATTGGGATACATTAAAATGACATGATTTTTTATATTTTATTTATGCTTTTAGGACCTGGTGAAGGTTCCAACACGTCCCCCAGCATACTGGCTTTATTGGAGACGCTACAGAACGCTGCTCATCTGGAGGTCCACAAGGACATGATCCGCTGGATACTGAAGGTGTTGGATTAGTAATACTGTATTATGTTTTGTATTAATGACATGTAAAGCTGAACTCCAGGCAAATGGCAAAATACACAGTTGTGACTGCCAAAGCATTTGTAATTCTGTTCAATAAACACTTCCACAGCCCCACCACACAGTACAGACCAGACAGGTGGTAGACCTGACATTTCTGTACAGCTTCTTCACATTTTGCCCCCCTCCCTCCCCCCCAACCTGTGACTGGACAGTAAAAGAGCAGCAACTCGGAGGTGGTTATCTCTCTCCTTGTTCCTTTCACCACATGTGCATTCAAAACACCTGATTGGCTCCTAGTTCTGCAACACCTATTTTAGTCTGCTGTACAGGGAATTGCAAGACAAAATCAAATTCAGGTACTAGTTGCATTTAAAAATACATTAAATGAAAACATAATTGCCTGCTTGGAGCTAAGCTTTAAATGATAGCAAGCAGTGGACTTGCTACAAATGAAATGTCAGGGAATGAGGTCTAAAGCATATCTGTATTTCAGATGTTCAGCACTATTAAGAAGATTCGGGAGAGCTCATCTGCCACCCCTGTGTTGGAGACCGAGGGAAGCGGATTAGAAGAGGTAAGCGCCTGTAGTTCTCTAATATAACACATTTGTTGGATTCATTTGGTCTCTGTGTTGTGAAATATAATACTGTTTAGGTAAAACAATGAAGTAGGAAAATGAATTGCTGATTTCTGTGCAGCATTTGGTAGTATACTGGTGTTCCTCTTTTACTTTAGGGACTGCTTCCAATATGACAGATTATCTATCTCCTCCACATTTTAAAACCTTAGAAACTGACTACACACCTTGTGGAAAATATTCACTAACCTCAGACATACAGCTTTAAAGTGTTTGTAAACCCGAAAAAATGAACTTTGTTTATTTGGTTTGGTCATATAATATTGAACGTGTTCTGTTCTATCCTGTCTGCGTCCGAGCAGGGACACCTGCACCCGCACGGACGTGCAGTTCGGGTGAGCGTAGGGTGGCGTACGGCTGCGCACTCTCATAGAGAAGAACAGGCTGCTGTGTACAATCACACGCAGCACCTGTCCTTCCCGGGAGCGGCCCCATACGGCCGTGCACGCTGCACCGATCTGTACGGGCCGGCTGTTACTCGTGTGAATGAGGGCTATGGGAGTACGCTGCCGTGCGTGTGTCCGTACTCGGACAGGATCGATCCTGTCTGCGTCCGAGCACGGACACCTTCACCCGCACGGACGTGCCGTTCGGGTGAGCGTAGGGTGGCGTACGGCCGCAAACTCCCATAGGGAACAGGCTGCTGCGTACAATCACACGCAGCCCCTGTCCTTCCTGGGAACGGCCCGATACAGCCGTGCACACTGCATGGATCTGTATGGGCCCACAGTTGTGTGAATGAGGCCTAAAGTTGATATGTTACATATGATGTTTTTTAGATTATACTGTGTTCTCTAGGAAGTTCAGTTTTCTGTATTTACTGCATGTGTTACATAAGATGCTACTGTGTGCTTTGCAGAGCACGCGTGATAAAGACAAGGCCGAGCGGAAGAGGAAGGCAGAGATTGCCCGACTCCGGAAGGAGAAGATCATGGCACAGATGTCTGAAATGCAGAGACATTTTATTGATGAGAACAGGGAACTCTTCCAGCAGTCCTTAGATGAACTTGGCGTATCTGCATCCACATCCCATGATCACAGGTGAGATGAGCACTTTCTGATGTGGTGCCTGTTAGATGCTCATAGTCTATAAATGAGGAGATGACTGGGGTTTTTTCACAACATAGATAACCATCAGTATTGTGGTGCATGATGGGGTGTTCAGGTGGAAAGAAAAAACAGAAATACATGGCAGCTACCTAGTTTAATAGTAGGGTGGTGGTGCACAGTAGGAAAGTCTTTTTCAAAGGATTTTATTGGTATCGGGGTTATACAAAAATCACACAAGATCTTGGTAATACAAGGAGAAAGAAGAAACAGAGTATCCTTCAGCACATAACAAATGACTGTGATAGCAGTGGTTGCATAGACATCTAGCATGAACATAAAGTATAATGAACCCCTCCACATGCCGGGACGAGACGGAGTGCATCCCCAACACCGCCCCATGGGGCGGGTCGTTACTTGAGGCCCAGCTTCCTGATCGCACAGGAAGCTGGCTCTATGTTCCCCTACGGCATTGCCGGTCAGAGGAAATCTCCCTCTGACCGGAAGTTTCGGTATCGGGAAAGGTATCGGAGCATTTGAGCGAGTAAGAGTACTCGCCCAATTACTCGGTATCGGCACTGATACTAGTATCCGTATAGCTGCATCCCTAGTATATACAATATTTTTTTTTTCAAACAATATTTAATACATGACAAATAATTCCCAGAGCACTGTAGATGAGCTAAGACTACACATGTAAACAAAGGCTTTTTACAACAGTATGTAAATGGAGGTAAAGTTGGGGAAATGAGCTGCTGGCTGGCTAAAAGTCTGCGTAATATACATTTGCAATATTTCACATTTACCTAACTAAAGAGAAAACATTTGACAAAGCACGATCGAGCGAAAATACATACAAAACCACTAAACGTTCCCTTTTAATGTTTGCCTTCTCAGCGGCCCTGCATTGTTGGACGCCAAGCTTATTGCTCTGGGCCCTCATCAGACCCGCTTTACAGAACAAAGCCAGCTGGTGACCTGCATTCTGTGCCAGGAGGAGCAGGCGTTCAGTGTGGATAACAAAGCTATGGTTCTTGCTGCCTTCATTCAGAGATCCACAATCTTCTCCAAGAACAGGGCAAAGATTATTCAAGATCCAGGTAAGCAGCTGTATAGGAATGTTATGGTCACGGTGTGCTGCCAGTATCTATTCATTTATTCCTGGAATAGAAAGCATGCTCTGCGGGATTAGCTTTCTCCTTAGGAGGATGGATAACAAAAAACAAGGAGAAGGCCTCCAGGGCTAAACCGTTCAGTCAGAGACCTAAGATTTTTGGTTAGCTGGTGCCCAAAGGCACATAGACTTGGGTTTTCTACTGATGATTGGACTCTTCTATTTGGGGCAAAGTCTCATTGCTTCCTCTGGGCTAACCACACAATGTTTTAACTGTATTGGGTCCTGCTGCTCTTATAGCCAGATCTGGAGATTCACTGGTAAGTGCTGTCTGGATACTGAAGTATTGGGCCTTGACCTGATCTGTTCCTCCTGCTAAAAGGCCTGCTGAATTCCAGCCTTTTGTATTGCTGTTTACTCTTCTTCTACTGACTCCTCTTCTCTCTAGCATTCGTCGTTTGCTCATCTTCTGGTGGCACTTCTGTGCCTAGCAGCCACAAATTGCAATTACTTTGTTTATAGCTGGCATGTGCGCTGCGCAGTGGCACAGATAATTCACCAAGTGCACACCGATCTACTACTGCACACCGCACTAGTAGCTAAGGCAAAGGCCCTTCATCCTACTCCCAGTCTCTCACAGCAGTGATCAATGTCCTATTGCCAGGCTTTAGTTGGGGGGAATGTTCATGTTCAGATATTGACTTTCAGAAAGTGGTGGATCAGGGTGATGGGTGACTCTGTGAAAGTTAAGGGGTGCTTCTTTGACTAGTTAGCCCTGATTATACGGTCACCTTAACTTGAATGCAATCATAAACCTAGCATTTAGAGTTCATCTAACCCCTATACTATAAAGAAAATATCTCAACAAACCTGAAACTGTCATTGTGAGAGACAATATAATATCGAAATTTTGCTGAACACCAGCCTCATGTAAAAATCTTCAGAGCAAACCCGACAATGAAATTCCAACAATGAAAGCTACTAATTTGAGAAACCGATTTGGATTATTAATCTCGCAATGTAGATTCCACTCTGATGTTATAAACTGCTTCATGGCAGCAGTTAGGTGAAATCCTAAAGTTCCATTTACATACAGTAACTTTGTGTTTTAATTTATGGTCTGCGCAGAAAACTACGATCCACTGATCATGCATCCGGACTTGGCATGTGGAACACACACAGGAAGCTGTGGGCACATCATGCACGCACACTGCTGGCAGAGGTAATTATTACATTATATTGCTACTATGTTGTCTGTAAATCTATAAAAGTGCATATTTATGTGACCCCCCCCCCAGGGCAGCAACTGGGCTACTTTAGGGGGAGTTACACATAGACAACTGGTGGGTATAGCTGATACTACAGTAATATCTGTGTGTGCTGCTTAAAAGATTATATAGGATCAGATTTGAAAACGGGCTTGGGCATTTTATTTTGATTTTTCTTTTACATTGTTAAAGAAGATCTTTGGGGTTCTCAAAAGTTAACCCTTGCAGTGGAACTGCCCCCGCACTGCAAGGGTTAACTGCTCATTTTGGTCTAGGGAATAGAATACAGAAGATACATTCACCTGATTCTTAGTTGTGCAGCAGTCAGCACTCGCCTCTCTCCGGCTGTGGTATGTCCCATGGTGTCTTCACGTCTAATAGACCTGTTAGATGTGGTGATGTCATGCCAGAGCTTTGAGGAGAAGAGGCAGTGGGAGCTGATCTAGCAGCCAGGCAGGATCTAGGATCAGCTAAGTATATTTTACTTATTTACAATCGTAGACAAAATTATTATTATTATTATTATTACATAGTATTTATATAGCGCCAACAGTTTGCGGTTGACCCTTCCTTTGTGGGGGGTAGTTGAAAATCCTGGAGTTTCCTCTCTTAAAATGAGATAATCCAGTAAAGATAACCTGATTGTCCCCATTACTGCCTTGTAAGTTACCCTGTATAGACCGAATAGTGGGTAGGCATGTGTGATGAACTTTTGGCAGTCCTTTGCAAACAGACCCACACATTTATGGAAATCCTGAAGTTTTAATTCAGGCTGAACAAATATTGTCTATATACAGGAGCCATGTTCTTACTTAAAGAAGAACTCGAGGCAAATAAACAATGTACCCTGGCAGTGGGGCTACTCGTTAAGTGCTTGTTTTGGTCTAGGGGCTGGAATAAAGCAGATCTACTCGCCTGATCCTGGCTTCCTGTGGGCTGCTAGACTGGTCCCCACAGCCCCTGGGCTTCGGCAGTCTAAGGACCACTGACATCATCACGTCTTATGCAGGTCCATTGACCTCCATTAGATGTGAGGACACTGAGGGACATTCCATAGTTGGTTCAGAGGGAGAGAGCGGTGAGCACGGACCTCTGGGGGAGCCCCATTGCAAGGGTATGTTTTGGTTTTTTTAATTTTCCCTGGAGTTCTTTAACCCTTTCGCTGCCAAGGACGTACGTCGTACGGAGCTACAAAAGTGCTTCCAGCTGGCCAGCTCAGTACGCCGTACGGACCTGGCATTTACAGTTCTACTATAAGCTGATGGTCGCTTTAGCTCACAAGCCGCTGATGACCGCTAATTTTAAAAATACCGGGCGCCGCCATCCCCCCCTGAAAATTCAAAAATGGCTTGGCCAGCTGATTTGAAAAATGTTCCGGAGGGCTTGGCAGCGAAAGGGTTAAATGTTGGTGACCTTGGTGTATTTCTTCCAGACGTGCAGTAATTGAGCATTGAACAAGTTCTGCACTGTGTAGGAGTTTCCTGTAATAGAAACCAATTACTGCTGCTCTGTCTGCTTGTCTTGTTCCACCTCCCTGTAATTTCCTGCAGGTAGCAGAAGTGGTCCTTCCGTGTCCCTCCCACAGCTCTGCTCTCTGCATGGGCTACGTGATGCCCACTGATGGTGTCCCCTCTACTTTTACCACATTCTATCTGGTATTGCATAGGCATTTAGTGCACACAAAGTTGATTTATATATTTTGAAGCTATTGAATAATTCATGTTAAGGAAAGTTTGGGAGCCTGGAGTTCAGCTTTAAAGGCCGTTCTGGTCATTAGAGAGTGATCAGATGTGCTTTGGGGCACAGAGTAGATTGACAGTCCTAAAAGTGTCAGTTTCCAGACCATATTTATGAAGATTTCAGGTTGACAATTTCAGGACTAGTTTTGATGCAATCTTTTGAAGGGTATAATAGATTCTGTGCAGAAACTTTAGCTGGATGAACTTATCCCTGTCCCAGATCATACGTTTAGTGTACTGTGCTTTTCCTTCTTCCCAATCTTTCTCTTGGAGGTCAAGTATGTCGGTCCTCCATTTATAAAATAAGGTGCTCTGTCTGGGGGAGTGGTATGTCCTTAAAGTTGCATCAATGGAGGAAAGTGTTTTGGACAATGTAGGGTGCTACAATAGGGATTATCCATTTTTTGATGGCTGTGTAAGTCGGATTGTACTGATAGAGATCCATTTGATATCAATGTCTGTGCATTGCAGGTATTTTGATGCTGTACAGATGAAGGAGCAACGCAGACAGCAAAGGTTGCGAGTCCACACAAGCTACGATGTGGAAAATGGAGAGTTCCTATGTCCGCTTTGTGAGTGTTTAAGCAACACAGTTATCCCGATGCTTCCACCACCCAGAAGCTTGTACCACAGGTGAGATGTTCAACACACTGGGTCAAGTCAAACGTTGGGGCTCAAGAACTAATCTCAAGCAGCTAAGATACATATGTGCATTGTTTTATATGCCAGATATTTGTGATTTACCCTTCAATTCTGCAAGTTCTGTGTCCCCTTGAGTCTGCCAATTGCCCTATTAATGAGCTGGCCGTACATACTATTCCTGCTATCACCAGTGCCAATAACATGTTAAGATGTGTTTTATCCCAGCCATTTGTAGCCTCTTGAACAGAGGACTATAAAATGATGATAAAATAGCTTTCAGGTAATTTTTTTTTTTCTACCAATATTTTAAAAAGGCCTTTTTTTAAATACATCACATTAACAAGATGTTAGCATACATTTTTAAGAAATTCAATCATTTTTAAGTTCTGTTTGTTATTTTTGACCTGACTTTTTTCACATAATTGGCCTTTAAAGTAGAATTAAACGCTCCTTTGTTTTTGCATAGATCTACTGCTAGCAAGCATTAGATATGCAGAATGCAAAAACATTTAAAAAAAATAGTTACCAAAAAGGTAAAAACTTACCACTGTCTCCGCCACTCGCTCCCGTCTGAAGATTCTTGAGCGGCCGCGCAGGATGATATGGCGGGCACATGCGCGGTAGAGATCTTCAGCGGGAGAGGAGGAGACACACAGTGGAGGTGAACGGACGCAGCGTGCACCTCGTACAGACACCATAGGACGCAAGGTTCAGAGACCGGGACCAGCGCTGGAGGAATTGCTGAATACAAGTGGAAGGAAGATGATCGGATCAAGAGGCATCATTTAAAGAAAGTCATTAAAACAGCATTGGGGGGGGGGGGGGAAACATTTGTGACTTTAATGTCACTTTAAAATGTGTTCTTAAGAATACAAATTGTCTCTGCTTACCTAACATTTGTTTTTATTCCTCTTTAACGGTTTGTTTGTTTTTTAATTGACGGAGCACAGAGCAGGAATGGCTTCTTCCTGCTTATTATACCTGTTTTATCATCTACCACTTTTCTCACAGTACGACGCTCATTGCCACCTGTTCATTCTCCCCTTCGAGTCAATTGTAAGGGGAGGATGCACAGTGGCAATGTGCGTCATACTGTGAGAAAAGTGGTACTTTGAGAACCCAGAAATAGAGTGAATATTTTTTTTAAAAAAAGGAAAATAAATCTCCATGGGAATAACCAGAATGACCATACATAGTCCAAAAAGATCATCTAACAATGATTGTGCAAGAAGAAGCAGACCATGTACGTTGTTTCTAGGGACGGAATCACTTTTGACTGTTTAAAGCATTTGGTTGTTGCTGTTGCTATAGACTTTCTAATGCGTCTGTACAAACAGATAGTGCTATACATGCATCACTAATGCCCTTCCTCCAATGTAGAGGAAATTGTGGTGGGTCACTGCAGCATGGGAATATGATCAAGGACATGGTAGATGTTCTCAATGAGACAACATTTTGGAATACTGTGTAACCTTCATGGCTCTTTGACAAACCTACAACTAACCTTTCAGTAGAGGTCTCCCTTCACCACAATACCCACAGTACTTTCAGAAGAGGTCTCAGTAAAGGTCCCACTTCACCGAAATGCCCACCAGTACTTGGCTCTCCTTTGCTGCTTTGGAAAAGAGATGAAAGGATATGCTCTAGCGATCTCACTAACCAGGACGAAATGTATATTCAATTATTCAGCTGCAGGTCAGATCTGCTGCAGGAAATTTACGTTCTAGTTGTCCTGACAAGCAGCTTCTCTAGATTGTCAGCACAGCTGGAATACAAGTGAATGCAAGTATCATTGGAGTTCGTAGGAACCAAACTAAATACTAAGGTTTATGTCCACAACCAGATAGGGTGTTGTAATATCTTTTTTTTTTTTATGTTGCTTTTACAGATTAGATTTCTCGGATCAGCCAGACTTGGCAGAATGGATTTCTGTTACCAGCCACCAGATAAGAGTCCTAAATGAACTGGAAGCAGAGAAGATGAGCACAGGTGAGTGTGGTGCAAAATGTTTTATATCCTCACCCCCAGTCACAGGAGGCAGGGTGGTAAGCAAACTGAGGAGATTATATTCATCAGCAGACTAATGGTCAGGCAAATCAGTACCTACCCATTCCAAACAATACACAAGAGTAATCTAGGGCATGAATAATGAGAAGGACCTAAATCCAGGCATGTGTAAACCATAAAACCTGTTGATCAGGCACAGACTGCATGTCCATTAGTTAGTCCAGGTGTGCACTGCCTTGTTGACTAAAGCTGGCCATACACCTTACAACCATCGCAAGACTCTTGTCTTGCGATGGTTATAAGGTAATTAAAAAAACATACGATCTGCCCATCTTGGACAGGCAGATCGTACTTGCGATCATCGCAAGCCCGCCCCGCTGAGGGGCGCGCTTCCGATGACTGCAGTGCTGAACGGGCAGTGTGCGCTTGCGTGCGGCATTTTACAATCGTATGATTTTAGTCGGGTTTTCGAGCCTGCTCGTAAGACAAAAGACGTGCGACCGTACAGTAGAAACGGTCACACGCCTTCCATACACCTGCCGATTATTGTACGATCGTGGGATTTCCCGCGATTATCGTACGATAATCGGCAGGTGTATGGGCACCTCGACAATCATCAGAAGGCAATCCCTCTTCCAATATCATTATGTTCTTTTTCTTTAAAGGTTTTAGTTATTTTCCTTTCTATTGATTACAGATGAGTCAGAAACTCCCAGGCAAGTGAATATTCCCGAAGGGTTCCGGCCTTCCTTCCAACCGAAGTATGTATCTTTGCTTTTACTGTAGTTCTGTGCTTGGTATAGATCGGTGTAATAACATATTATAATGTCTGTGTTTGATCCACGCTGTCTTAGGAACCCGTACTCCGATAGCATTAAAGAGATGCTGACAACATTTGGGACAGCAACATACAAGGTTGGACTGAATGTCCATCCCAACGAGCAGGACCAACGAGTCTCAATATTGTGCTGGGGCAGCTGTGCATACACCATACAGACCATTGGTAAGGCTAATTCTGTCTGACCGGAGGTGATTCTTGCATTCACATAACGCTGAGTTAACTTATGATGTTTGTTCTGGCTTTTAGAGCGTATATTGACAGATGAAGAGAGACCTTTATTTGGAAACTTGCCATGTCGACAGGTGAGGATTTATTTGCAGAAATAGAAGTAGCAAATAGTGAATTCAAAATGTTTTTAAATATAAAAAGGATTTACGAACAAACTTACATTTCGCATTTGCTTAAACTATATATAAACCTGATCACTAAACTCTGTGATAAGATGTAAAATGCTAAAGTAATTTCAAAAGGCATTTTAAATCTTATTAAATCCAAAGTTTTCACTAATATAATTACTGGCAATCTTCTATGAAGGTCATTGAGCAGTAACTTCCTGTTGTAGGGTGACAAAGCTCTTTGTAAATCGTTCTCCTTTGTTGTCAGCTTGTCTCAGTGCTCTTCCAATGGTGACTGCAAAATCCAGCAACCCTGTTATTACTTTGTGATGGTAGAGGTGACATCATCACTGGGCTTCACATAGCCTGTGCAGACAGGATTACTGTGGGAGGTGCCCAGCAGGTCCACTCACTACAGGCTGCCTGCAGATAAGTACAGCAGGGGGCAGAGACAAGACCAGTCATCCTGCACAAGGAGATAGAGCAGCAGTGACTGGTCTTCATTACAGGAAGCTACTGTACTGAGACAAAGTTTAGGAGTTCTTTAATGCTAGATTACTGCAAATATGAGCAAAACAAATAAGCACTGCACACCAAGATTCAACTAATTACACATGACTCGTATTTAGGCAATGTTTGTTTTGCCGTAAGACCTTTACTATGATCTCTACATAACAAACAATGGCATCTTTTCCTCTTTAGTTTCTAGTCATTGCATAATCTATGTCTTCCTTTGTTGGTCTGCAAACTTTTTGTAAAAAATAAATGAATAACTTCAATATATGATTTCTTTAAAGTTCTTTGTGCTATTTTCATAACGAGGATGTTTTACTTCCATGTTTTAGGATGACTGTCTGAAGTCACTGACCAGGTTTGCTGCAGCACACTGGACGGTGTGTCCTTTGACAGTCGTACAAAAACACTTCTCACGGCTTTTTCATTGTAAGAATCTCTTCACTTTTCATCAGAACTCCACACAGCTAGCAAAATGTCAGTTGAAATACAAAGGGCCCTGTTTATAGAGGAGAGGGGATACCATTGGGCATTGCACTGTTGCTTCGCTCCGCAGGCTGCATTTTACATCCAAGTTATAAAATGCAGGGTGTAGTGTGAAGCCTGCAGTGTCCGTTTGAGGTCTCTAGGCTTAATGCAGCAGAGGGAACTCCATGACTGATTGTAGGAGAGGCTTTGAAAGGTCATGTGACCGGGATTTCCTCATCCTGGGGTTTTTTTAATCACTTGTGAATGTTGCCCTGCTTGATTCAGAGTCCCGAAGGAAGCGGGGTGCAATGGACAATTGTAAACTACAACTATACACCAGCTTTATACACATGGCCTATAGTGTGCTTGTGATCTGCTTTACCTGCCAAAGTCTTTTTATATCTGTTCACCCAGCTCTGCCCCACCACATAGTAAGTCAGATGACACCAATATGTTCTATTTCTCCTAAGCAGCTTCCTTTGCCCTAAGTATGAGGGGGAGGCTGATACGTTTTGCCTCTTGAATAGAAAATGAATGGGAAAAGGGTATTTAAATAAATAAAGAATTTATCTGCATCATGTCTTCTCAAATATGCATAATTATTTTTCTACAAAATCTCCACACACTTCAATACACTTTGGCCAAAGCTGCACTCATTTTTTAAATCCGCTCATCAAAAAAATTGATATTTTGTTTTTGAAACCATTTCCTCAGTGCAGACTCCACCTCGGATGAAGCACCGGCCCTTCAAGTGTTCCTTTAGCTTTGGGAACAGGTGGAAATCACTAGGAGACAGGTCTGGGCTATATGGTGGGTGCGGCAGCACTGAAAAGTCCAGCCGTTGAATTGGATCTCTTGTTGCTGCACTTGTGTGAGGCCTGGCGTTGTCATGTTGAAGCGTTTCATTTCTGGTTACAATTTATTTGATTCTTCTTTTTAATGCAGTCAGAGTTTCAGTATAACGCTCAGAGTTTAATCCTTTTTCAAGAAAGTCTGCAAGAACAACGTGAGAACAACAGAAATGAAACGCTTCTTTTTTTTTTTATTTCACTAAAATATCTTTTCCTGTTCTTTTTCTGTTTTAAGTGTAGGAAAAATGAAACGGCCCGTCCTCGTATAGCTAAACCCTAAAGTTTTGACAGATTTGGGAATAGTTAGAACCCCTATCAAGTTCTTTTGCTATTTGTGTCCCATTGGGGAGAATTACCTTTTACCGTATTTTTCCGTCTATAAGACTCCCCCATGTATAAGACGCCCCCAACTTTTCTTACCCAAAATTCAGAAATCAATATTTTAAATGATATTATGCATCACACTTACCTCTGAGCCAATCACTTTATTCAGCCTCTGTTGCATCACTGGTTTCGTCATCACTTATAGTTTCAAACATATCAGTGTCTTCAACTTCTGCTGCATCACTGCTGTCTGCTGAGTCACTGTCTATATATACAAGATCATCCTCAGTTCCGTCCATGGCTTTGCTGATTCCACATTTCTTGAAGGACTTCACAATCACCTTTTGTTTGACACCATACCATGAGTTTAGAGAGTTTACAGGTTGTTCTTCACTTTCTGACATTTTTATGGTCACAGAATGCTCCGACGTTACCGCTCTGGGCCCTGCCTACACGATCTCCCCAGCAACAGCTCACGTCAGGTTCAAAAGATTTATGACTGGAGGAGAACTGTTATCTTGTCTCTGCACTCCGTGAGGCTAGTTTGCAGTGGTATCAGCACTTTCAAAACCGCGGCCCCCCATGTATAAGACGCAGCTCTATTTTTAGATAAAGATTTTTATGAAAACGTAGCGTCTTATACACGGAAAAATACGGTACTTCTTGCCCTGTAGACACAACAGAAAGAGATGAAATGTCTCCTCAGTGTGGAGTAATCGCCTCATACAGATGTCACACATTGGATGATTTTCTCTCTTTTTGCCTGTTTTGGTGACAGAATTTTGTTTTTCTCCTCCTTTTCACTGAAAGTGTACACCAGGAGTAACAGAGAAGGTGAATTATCCCAGATGGAAATAAAAACTGACAGGTTCTAGCCCTTTTCCTCTTCAGTAAAGTTTTGACTTTAGATGCACTTCAACATGTTTTCCATTCATATTGATCAAGATTTCAGTAGGACAGAATTAGGTCACGTAGAAATGCTATATGAAATATATTCATGATGTACTGCAATAATGTATGTTCTTTATCACAGCAATTGTGCCTCTAGAAGATAGGCAGGAGTCACAGAGTATACTGGACATCGACATGTTCCATTTAATGGTAAGAGTGTGCTCCGTTCATCACATAGACAGATTTAAAAAGGGGAAGTCTACCAAAAAGGGATATTTTAGTTTTGTTTGTGGTGTACAGAGGGCTTCATCACTTGCATGTATCTCCTGAGAATTCCAGCAGCTTGATCTCTTGTCAGTGTCATAGACCCTGTTGCTGTTACTGCTCACCCAGTGTATGCTACTAATGATCTCTAGAGGATGTCACGATTCCTCCTCTTGATTGCCCGCTGGTATAATTGGAACCCAAAATCCAACAAAGAGATTGCAGCCCACATGCATACCAGGAACTTTGTAGTAGCAATCTCAGCCTTGGAGTCCCTAAGAAACCTATACCCTTAGATGGTCTGAATCGCCAACATTTGTTAAAAACTAGGAATTCAGATTTGTGTGGCCCGTTATTAAGCTGTGCTTGTAGCCACCTTAATGGCGGGGCCACACAAATCTGAATTCCTAGTTTGTTTGTTTTTCTGGAGCTAAACTTGGATGTTGTCGTTTTTGGGTTGAGTAGATTTTATGAGCTCAGTACATTGAACAGCCCTGGCCTGCTCCAGGGATCTGTAAGATTTCAAGAATGGGACCAAGTGCCAGGGTAATGTAACACCAGCACACAAGTTACATCAGTGGTTGCTCAGTGGGTGAAGCAAGAATATGCCATTCCTGAAAGAATTGAATTGTTTAAAAAACATCTGGATGTATTCTTAAATGCACAGAATATTACTGGATATTGAGTTCTTATAGGTATATTAGGCATCAGAAATTGTTGATCCACGGAATATCCAATTGCCTTATGGGATCAGGAAGGAATTTTTTTCCCCTGTTGGAGCAACCGTGCTTTTATAGGGGTTTTTTTTGCCTTCCTCTGGATCAACATTGGGTAACTGTGGGCATAATGTTCTGTTTTAGGCTTTTCTTTTTGTTTTTTTTTCTCCGTATCTCTATAGGTTGAACTCGATGGACTTGTGTCTTTTTTCAACCTGACTACCATGTAACTACATGCATTGATGGCTGAGAGCTCTCGCATCTCATTGCTGGATTAGCACACTCGGAGATTTGCACATTATAGCAAATGCTGGCCAGCCACCTCCTCCTGTTCTAAGTTTTGAATAGAGTGTTTAGGGGTTATAGAACTCTTGTCCGGTGACCTTTGTCACCGGAACAGAAAGTGATGAGGATAGGCAAAATTTTCCAGTTGTCACTAGAACAGATGTTGTGGAGTAATCTTCATTGGGACACCGATTCCGAAGACAACTAAGAAATTATTTAATCTCACTTTTATGCATGCAGTCGTGCAAACATTTATATATTGTTTTTTGTGGGGCGTTATATGTATATAGTAAAAGGATTTACTTAATTCCGTAATGTTTTGTACCTGATGACTTTGTGTTTCTTTGTACAGGTCAGCTTGGTGCTATCTTTCCCAGCTGTACAGTGCCAGGACTTTTCTGGGAACAGTTTGGGCACTGGAGATCTCCATCACTTCCACCTTGTAACCATGGCACATATTGTTCAGATAGTGCTGACTTCATGCTCAGGTAAAGCTCTAAATAGTCAAAAATGCCATTGAGGAATCCGCTATTTCAAAGGAATGCTACAGCTATGAAACATTTAACTTGCATACTTACTATTTCTGTTGGGGCTGCTCTTTTGATGAGCCTTGTCTCCCCACACATACATACAACAAACATCAATGAGGCTGTGTCATCCCCCTTACTGGGGCTTAGTCAGAGAGTCTAAAATGAAAAATAACCATATGACTATATGTGGCACTTGCTCTTTGACTTTGGGTAAAAGTGCTGCTATTAAGCCATACAATCAGTGATGAAAAGCTCTGTTCTGAATGAATCTTTGTGTTTCTTGCAGATGAAGATGGGATGGATCAGGAATGTTCAGATGGAGAAGAGGAACACGCTGTGATGTCTCTGTATAGAACAATCTGCCAGTGCACTGGAAGGTCTGATCAAGTCCATTACTTAATCTTTTCAGATATCTGGTTTTATCTTCATTCTCCTTCCCCCTTCGCTTTGGGAAAAGACCAAACAAGGTCCAGTAAAAGCAGATGATGGGATAGGATTAACATATTCTGTTTACTTTGTTTTGGATAGAGCAGAGAAAGGTTAGATCCCCTAATTTTTTTTATTGCTGTCTAGGGTTCCATTAGATATATTTCCCCTCACTTACTGTCCGGCTGAAGACTTTTTTTACCAGGCAGGAAGGGAATTTCTCCAATAGCAATGCAGACAGAAATCAAAATGAGTTTTTCAGTAGAGCAGAGGAAGGCTAGAGCCCCTGTTAGATTTATATTTCTGCCTGTGCTCTTGTTGCAGAGTTTGCCTCACTTCCTGTCTGATACCACTGACAGCAGTACAGAAGAGGAGTAGAAATCTCTAACGGGGCCCCGGATAGCAGTACAAACAATATAGGGGCTCTAGTCCTAACCCACTCTATCCAAAAGTAGAAAGTGCCTTGACAAGCACTTTAAGCATCACTTACAATGATGTGGCTGTGTAGAGGTTAAAGCACAGATGCATTTAAATAAATATATACTTACAGTCAAACTCCGTGCAAACATGTAACATGAGTAGATCCAGTTACATAGGCTGCTAAATGTCTATGTGAATCTTTCCTTCATCTGTAAACTATGTGTAGCCTGTGAATCTTCCCACCTTTTGAGTTGGTCTTTCAGTTTGATTAGGGGTGGTGCCAGGTAGATTTTCTTTTAAGGAAAGCACAGGTTTAATATTCAAAATGTGTTTCCTTTTTATTTAAAAGCACACCAAGGTGGTCATCAGGATGGCACCTCTACAGAGCAATAAAAGTGGCCGTTCTTCCCTTCTTGAGGTGCTCTGCTGTCTTCTTCCATTACTTGAATGGTGTTCCACCGCCTGCAGACTTGCCAGGTATGTTGCTGGTTTTCCAACTTGTTACTGTCAGTGCACATGTCACCTGTGCTTACATGGTACTCTACTTTTTCTCTGCATTAGGGTAAAAATGACCCAGCACATTTTTTTTCTCCCCCAGTCCCCCCCACACTTACCTGTCAACTACGCTCGTCCCCGCCGCTGGGTCCTGAAACGATCTTCTATTCCCCGAACTTCCAGGTTACAGGGGGAGGATACTGATGGCAGAGGAGCTCCTTCTGCCATCAAAGAGAAGGGGCGTGGCCTGCCACAGGGCTGTGTGTGTCTATGGACGCGTAAAGCCACTGCGGGCACGGGTGCCTCCATTAGAACGATGGTGGCACCCGTACAGGTGGCGGGTGGAGATTCCTGCAGGGACCCACGAGGAAATAACGACTTTTAAAGAAAATTAGCAATAGACTCCAGCAAAGATGGGTCTCCTTGTAGGACACGTGTAAAAAAAAAAAAGGAGGCTTTAATATCACTTTAACTTGTGGAAAATGATATACTAGAGATGCTGCAGATAACAATAGAGATTTCACTGGGAACATGTATTGCTGTTGTGTGAGCACACCACATGATTTTTTTCAGAATGGGTTGACCAAGTATCTCCAATTTTTTTTTTTATTTGGTTCTGAATTACTAAAGGGGTAAGTGCAGATTCCATTCATGTCTTGCAGCACATATCTTTTATTATTGGAGGCCATAATTCTACTACTCCCTGATTTTAATTTTCAGGTTCCAGTCAGTTTAGAGAAATAGAAGTCTGCCCTGCATATGATTGTGTTTGATGTGAGCACAGACTCGGGTGACAATTACTTCTAATATATACATATCATTTTCATTATTTTAGTGAGTGGTCTGAGCCAGATTGAACATCTGTGTAGTTACCTGTCACTACCCACCAACCTGATGAGCATCTTTCAGGAGAATCCCCAGGTGACAGAGGCCCTGATCAGCAGGTAAGTCACTGACCTTTTATTTGTTGGTCCTGCTCCAGTCCAGCTCCAGAAGAGGTAGCAGCACCTGACAGAGCTTCTCATCCTTCCACAAAGTTTGTTCCTGCGGTCTTTATCCCAGCTGGATAGATTTCTCATCACTTCCTATCCTGACAGGGAAAATCTCCCCAATGTGGGCAAACTTCACACAAAAACCTGATAAAGGCCCTAACGCCCTTCTTTCCAAAACTAAACAAAGCTTTGGCTATAGTTGGTCTCTCAGTTGAAAATGTTAAATGTCATCTTTGCACAGAAAACGCTACCACTTCCTGGTCACCCTCATTTCCACAAGGATACGCTGACACCTCTGTTTAGACCTACACCTGGCCGCCTAGGGAATTGTGTCTGGTTTTAGGTACGAACCATGTTCTTAAGCCCTAAAAAAATTGACAGGCCTTCCCCCCTGAAATGCACTGGCTGTATTCACCAAGCTAGATGACTATCTTTACCAGGTACACCTAACCCTATACCCAAGACGAGATTATTTGATTCCCCCACTGTGATCAGAGAGGCAGCTTATGGCCATAACCAGGTCTTTATACACCATACTTCCACTAGAGGGTAACTTCCTTATCCAGTTCCCGTAGGTGTCACACATATATATGGCATCACAGATGTGTGCTTTCCTTGGTGCCACATATGCAATATGGACCACTTATATGAGTTGGGGGCATGCTCGATCGCATGCACTGAGACAGCTACTGGTCTGGGATCAACATTGGGAGCATGTGAGGAGTAGAAGAATTTATTTTGGGTTGCTTTTTGGTGATGGGTCATGGTATTGGCAAGGAATATACAACTAAAGGTTGAAATATATATATATTTTTGTATCCATTTGGGGCAGTTTTCCTCAGTAGTAATCCATTAACATTTACAATGAAATGAAGGGCCATTTTTAATTTTTTTTATTTAACAAAACAAACCTTCCCTTCTCCATCTAAATGCATGAGTATGTATATATAAAAACTAAATCAGATTTTCATATAAGTAAACTTAGTATGTATGATGCATGTCCTCCTTTTCTAACTGAGATTTCTTTTTGTCTTGGAAGTTGGTGCAAGCAGAAGGATGTGAGAAGATTTGTGGCTGGTGAACGGACGGCGATCAGGTAAGTGATATTTGTGTTGCGACAGTGTGATCATACAGAGCTTATATTAGAGTATCTGATGGTGACAGACTATTAGTGTGTGGATCATAATGTACAAGTGTATTGAATTATGTTAGATTTCCGGTCCGTTAACAGTTGTTTCCTCCCTTTTAGCTTTCCACGAGAGTCTAATAAATTGATAGCCCTCCCTGAAGACTACAGCAGTCTCATCAATCAAGCATCCAATTTCTCGTAAGTAGCTGAATGTGTTTAACCCCTTCCTGACTAGAAGTCATGCTCAGACCAAATTTAGCAGCGTCAGCATAACAGGCATTGGTAACTTAACATTAAAATGATGTTTGCATTGAATATGGACATATATGGTTTTTTTTAAGTATTTTGCACTTAGCACATTGTTCCTGGTGTCTGTTATTGTCGTTGATGTATTGGCCAAATATGTAGCAATTTGTGATCAGTCTTAAGTATGAGCAATCGCAAACAACCATTCAGCGATGGAGCGATGAAACACTCACAGTATTTATTGCTCCGCACTTTGCAATCTACTGAAACGATGAAGAATACGATCAGTCATAAATCAAGAAGATCTATTAAAAAAATTGCTACATTGATGGGCACCATTAAGTAGATGCCGCAGCCTGTTTATGGAAGTTAGTATAAAGCTTTATATGATGTAAAAGAATGTAGTAATAATCCTGCCAGTCATGTTTATTGATTATCTACTGTAATTATTAATATGAAACTGACTCATAAGTGTTTTGGTTCCAGGTGTCCTAAGTCTGGCGGGGATAAGAGCAGAGCCCCCACTCTATGCCTAGTGTGTGGTGCCATGCTCTGCTCCCAGAGTTACTGCTGTCAGACTGAGCTGGAAGGGGATGATGTGGGGGCCTGCACTGCACACACTTATACCTGTGGATCCGGAATGGGAATTTTCCTCAGGTCAGTAACACTCGCTTTTTATGTCTATCCATGTTTTGCAGGAGCGCATCTTACAAAGTACAGCTTTTCTTTTCTGCTGTTAGGCCAGCAATCTGCTAGTGATAAATGAAAACTTCCCTTTTAGTAAAATTGTCCTTTACAGCTTTCCCTCTCCCTACATTATGTAGCCCACACAGCAAAATATGCATCATTTCCAATCATTGTGCTTTCTCATGCTGAGGGGATAAGAGCTCAAAGAGCTACACTGAGGGGGTAGTATGTGACCTTGCTTATATGAACTTGGTTTCTTTTTGTGCTTTCTCGTACAGCAAAATATATTGACATATCTAAATAAAGGTTGAAATACACATGCATTAACATACTGTTTTGATTGTGTTCTATTGTTTCTGTACAGAGTTAGAGAATGTCAGGTCCTCTTTTTGGCTGGGAAAACAAAGGGCTGCTTCTATGCCCCTCCGTATCTGGACGACTATGGAGAGACAGACCAGGGACTCCGGTATGTTCAAACTTATTTCACCGTATACCACTGGGGCTACTCTTCATGAAGTGGGTCACAAAGGTTCTGTATTTCTTGCTGGAACTTTGTTCCACATGTATTGTAATATCTGCACCATATGTTGCAGGCTTTGGCATCTTATTTGGTGGCTGGGTGAAACCCCCAGATGGGCACACTCTTCGTGATACAGTTTGATTTCTTTAGTGCCTGGCACCTGTCAGCAGATTGTGGTTACTCCAGTGACATCTACCAAGCACCAAAGGGAGCACGACAATTTACACCAGCAGATCAGACGCATCCACATATTTGGAGTTTGCAAGTTGTTTTGTAGAAAACGCTCACCTATGTTTTTCCCTCTGCTCCAATTACCTGGCTGGAGGCACTGGGGGGCGGGGCAGAGGAGGAACGGGGCATGGCTGAGGAGGAACAGGCTGGGCCAGAGGAGACACCGGGCGGCAGCGGAGGCACAAGGGGCCAGAGAAGTAGCGTGGAAGTGCAGGGCACAGCGGTCTCTCCTACGCACTGCAGTGGCCTGTGTTCCCGCTGCTTCTGCCGTTACAGATGGGGAGAGCAGTGGGGATTGAAAGGGACACAGACCACTGCAGCCAGCACCAGGGTGAAAGAGCGGAGCAGCGGCAACTAATCGATGATGAGAATCGTTGCCAATGATTCTCATGATCGATTATACTCAATTTAATCGAATCGTTGTTGCAGCCCTACCTGAGACACAGGATGTAATCACCCCAGGAGTCAGGTTCATGACAGCCTGTGCTCTGAGGAAGTGGATTGAATGATGTTTTCTGCAACTCTGCTGAGAAGATGAAGTGTTATGTGGGGGGCGGCGGGGCGCTTTGGACTGAAAAGCAGCATTGCAAAAAAAGCATCTCTCTTTATTTTATTATTTAATGAGCTTTTACTAGTCTTTTTTGGGCTAGTGTTGTGTTTTCAATTTATACAAATAATTGCTTCACTTTATCCCAGGGGAAGGGTCCATAAAATATTTCTTGAGGCATCCAGCATCAAATGTATGCAAGGAAGTGTAGTCTTTATCAGCTAGAGGCCAGCTTGGGTCTGGTTTGATTTAAACTCCTTAAACCATTGAGGGCTTCAGGAATCCCCAAAAAACACTAAGCTAGTAAAAATAAAGGATTTGGAATACCTTGGGGAAAATAATTGCTAAAAAAAATGGTTTTGTATTCTATGGCTGCAAATAGATTTGTGGGGCAAGTGGTCTAAAAGATGGGCACTGCTTGTCCTAACTGTGGTGTCCTTGTATTTCTCTAGACGGGGGAACCCCCTTCACCTCTGCAAGGAACGTTTCAAGAAGATCCAGAAACTCTGGCAGCAGCACAGCATTACAGAGGAAATTGGACACGCACAGGAAGCCAATCAGACGCTAGCGGGCATCGAATGGCAGCATTTATAATGCAGGCTCCTTTTTGTTTTTGACCTTTTTTATTTTTTAGCAGTCTCATTTTCTATAAGAACATTAACGTGACTGATATGTCATTACTGTATAAACAGTCCAGACCTTTTAATTTATATTTCATTGTTAAGTCCAAGGAATAAAGCAGAGTTTCCCCTCCCCCTTGAGAAACACTACAAAGATCATCTTATTAAGAGTTGTCAGCTTACACTGATTGCATGGCCTGAGTAGAGAGGCGCGAATGAAGTCCTAGTACTCAAGCTGAGCCTTTCGTGCTGCTGCTGCCTGGTCTACATTAAAGGGACATTTTCATTAATCTGTAGAAGAAAATTAAGCTCAACATGTCATCAAGGGAAAAGCAAAACAAAATGCTGGAGATGTCAACATTTATGTAAAGGATATTTCCAACTATAACTGAAACAAATCAGTTTCTGTTGTTGATGAACATATTTAGTTCACACTGACCTACGTAGTCACAATGGGAATATAGTATTTCTTGCGCTATCCTTGCTGCTGCTATTGAGACCGCACTATTAATCAAGCAAAAGCTTTTTCAGAATTCCCTTTGCTCCTGTTGGACTTGGGAGGGTGAAGGTCTAGCAACAGGATTATGTACACCAGCATGCTTGCAGGAGAAATCCACCCTTAGTAACAGGTGCGATAGTCCATTCTCTCTCGCCTTCCTAGACCTACCTAAAAACCCACCACTCAGCTTCTATAGCCAAAATGTTCAGGGCTCCCAACCATCACACCTACTTAAACTTGGTGGACCTCCCATTCCCAAACCATGAGCCTTAACATGGCGTGGTTCCCCTCTTCCTTGAGGTTATAACAGCCTCCACTCTTCTGGGAAGGATGGTGTCTGTGCACATTTTAGCCCATTCAGCCTAAAGAGCATTTGTGAGATTAAGTACTGATGTTGGTGTTGGCAAGAAGAGCTAGCTTGCAGCCAGTGTTCAAATTCATCCCAAAGGTGTGAAGTAGGATTGAGGTCAGCGCTCTGTACTCCCACTTGAGTTCCTCAACACCAAACTCATAAAACCAATTCTTTACGGACCTGGCTTTGTGCACAGAGGCGCTGTCATGCTGGAACAGAAAAGAGCCTTCCTAAACTGTGGCCACAAGGGTGGAAGTGCACAATTATCTGAATTGTTTTCATATGCTGTAGCATTAACTCTACCCTTCACCTCTCCTGGACTTAATCATTTGGAGGGTTGTTCGTGTACGTTTTGCTATATATTGTACTTCCTCTGGGCCAAAATCATCTTTAGCACTGTGACTGGAGACACTCGTATGGCCCCATTCATATCTATAGGGCCTTATTTGTTCAGGTAAAGCTAGCTTGAAGCTGAATTCAGCACAGAGTAGGATGTGGCTCTCGTGCTGAGGTGTAAGCAAACACTTGGGTGGATGGTTTCTAGGTCACGGGGCTAGAAAGGGGGGGCACTGATTTTTATTTTTACTCAAAGTGCACTTGTCCTTTTAAATGAATAAAAACCATGGATCCAGTAGCACTACATTTAGAACCAGTGCCAAGGATTGCAGTCTTACACACTTTCAGGTAAGGAGCAATGGGGCCTGAGCTTTCCAGATTGGGTGGGGTTGTTTTTTCAATCTCCCTTTGCTGAAATGTGTGCTTGGCATCTGGAAGCCTTGCTTGTAGTTTAAAGAAAAGACGGCAGCTGCGGAATCCCCACAACGTCACATGACTACCTTGGAGTAGTCCGATTTAGAAACAGAAAGAGACGGCCACTTCTTTAGATGAACTACTTGTCAGAATTTGAACATCATTGTATTTAGGCTTAGTATGATTATGTAGATCACATGTCAGAATGGACTGCAAGCATGCAGGTCCATGAGTACAACAGTCACCAAAGGTCAGGCCTTATCTGACTGGTGGTCTTGCCTAGCCATACACCCATATGGCAAAAATTGTATAATAGACACACGGCACTCTTCCTTACCTTCCAGTTCATTTAGGAAGAGAAAAGAAAACTGCTTTCTCACGCCACAGCATCTATTGTGCTTCTATCCAAGTAGATGGCAGCCATTTGTAAGATTCTATGTAAACCTTACGCTTACCTTGCTGGGCAGCGTTTACTTTAATTGACAGTCTGCAGGCTGAAATCTTAGTCTGACATGTTTCCTTCTCAAATTCTGTTCTTGAAAATGTTTGGAGAGGTCTGTGGGTTACCTATAGAAAAAATGCAACCTGCTCCTCCCTGTTTCAGCTGGATTCAGTTCCCATGTAGGTATTTTTGGCCAACAGAGTCTTTGCACACAACTTGTCTTTTTGGCATTCATGAAGGGGCCATTTTCAGCGCTGATTTTAGGATGTTTAATATAATCACTAACCCATAGCAAATCCATGTTCATCCTAACTGCTTAAAGAAAAAGTATAACTAAAACGCCAAAATCGTTGTTGAATCCCCCAGAGGGCCAAGTTCCTGTTCTGATCCATGGCCGCATTGGGCAACAAAAGTACATCTTTATGTCTGTTATTGCTGGCAGTCAGCTCCACCCCAGACTAAAGCCCAATTTATGGACTTTCTATGGGGGAGCTACAGCACAGCACTGTATCGATTACCTCCTTTCCTCAGTGTACTAGCTGTAAGGGTGCTTGTAGATATATTTTCTTATGCCTTCAGCTAACTCGCACCTTTTAGTGGGACCTTAGGGTTAGGGTACTACATGCACTTGGTCCCCTGGGGGATTCAACAACAATTTTAAAGTTGTGATGATACTACTTCTTTAAAGGGAACTGATGCCAATATGTAGAAATTAAAATGATATTTGTGGCTAATATTAGGTACCATGGGTTGTCTATGCTTACCTTTTTGGTTTACTCCAACCCACATCCTAAAATGCAATGGGAAAGCTCTTGTATCTTAGGCAGGTGCTTGACTTACATTGTGGTATATGTGCAGTAGTTGTCAGTAACTGTGTGCCATGCTTGCCTGTGTCCATAGGAGATATTGATGTATGTGCAGGCACCTTATGGTGCTCCCTCTGTGGCCACATATATCACCATTTGTTTTATTTACACTAGTGATAGGTGCAGTTACTTTTTTTATGCAAGGATTGCTTGTTTTTCGAGAGCTTAGAAGTGCAGAGTAATATGTTGCTGAAACATGCATGCTTGACCAAAAGTTTGTGGACGCTTGACCATCACACCTAAATTAGCTTTTTGGACATTCTGTACCAAAACCATGGGTATTAGTAGAGTGTGGGTGCTACCCCCTCCCCCTCCTGCCCATCTTTGGAGCTTTAACAGCATCCACTTTTCTAAGAAGGCTTTTTACACGATTTCGAAATGTAATTTTAAAGCTATTCAGCCAAAAGAACAATTGTGCGGTCAAAAACTGAGGTTAGATGAGAGGACCTGGCTCAGAATCCGCAATCCAGTTCACCCCAAATGTGTTTAGGAAGGTTAAGGCTCTGTGCAGAACACTCAAATTCCTCCACAACAAACTCCTAAAACCATGTCTTTATGGAGCTGGCTTTGTGTGCCGGGGTCACACAAAGAAAAATGCCCGTCCTCCAAAACTGTTACCACAAAGTTAGAAGTGCATATTGTCTAAAATATCTTTGTGTGCTGTAGAGTTTACCATACCCTTCACTGGAAGCACCCAAACTCAGATAATTGGAGGGGTGTCCACGTACCTTTGGCCCTATAGTGTAGTTGTGATGGTCCAGTTTTCAAAATCCTTGGTCATATAGTATAAGTATAATGATGTTGGGTATCCTTGTGATCATGCTGTCATAACCAGGCCCATGGTGCATTTTTTCATGCAGGAAATGGTCATGGCTTTTATAATCTGGTGTTTACACACCCTGTGGTCTGAAATGAGGCTTTCATTAGAACACACATCATTGACTACCACGTAGTCTAACTTGTGCTTGTAACCACTTTGCCCCGGGTAGCACATAGTACACAAATTCACTTTTATTAGAATGGCTTTGTATTTGCTTTAGTTTCACAACTTTCCACCGTAATCCCAGGAATTGTGGCACATTGGTGATCTAGCTTTGAATATTTTGGAAGATTTGCAGTCATTCACTTGTGTGACTTGAGGAACAAGGTTCTCGTTTGCTAAAATTTGCTTAGCTGGGAATTTTTCACTTGTGGGGGCAGCCATTTTGTAGATTAAAAACAAAAAAACTTCATTTGAGAAGAGGGAACTCTTTAAGGCCTAAAAGGGAGAATGCCTCCGAGAGTTTATTGTAATATATCTTCTATGTTACTACTTCCTAATCAGTAACTGTTCTTTTAGTGGTTCCAGGCCCTTTAAAAACAACAGATGCATGTTTTGGTTAAGTGCTAGGGCTAGTAAACAGGATCATGCTGGCTTCTTATACCCCTGAGACGTGCAATGATTCTCTGCACAGGTTCCCAACTCCACCCTCCTGACCTCCATTACAAAGGGATTTAGAAGGAACATGGAGGCTTTTGTTGGGGAGCTCTTATAGCTGAATTCCCCATGTGATACAAGTCATTCAACCCCCCCAGAAGAGAATTGTTAGCTCTAGGTGGGCTGAACCTTTAACTTTCCCTTTGACGTCATCAAATAGGCCTTCCTTTACTTGCTCTATCCCATGTTTTTTTCTTTAGTCTATTCGATATTTGAGACGCTCCTTTTTCTTGAAGCATGTATTTGTTTCATGTAGAGATTTTCATGTAAAAATATGTATGAATGGAATTCAGCCTGAAAGACTTTTAATTCTTTAATATCCGTTTAAATCCTTGTAATATTTGAATGTAATATATGTATAAAAAAAAAAAGCAAAGATTCACAACTTGTCCAGAATAAACGCATTGGTTGTCCTTGTTTTGGTTGTCCTCTTCTTGACCTGGCGTCTATTCGGCTTGAGACGATGTTGACTAGCTCAGCGCTGAGGTAGCCCAGATATGTCAGTGATAAGCTGTGGATTACCTGAATACCGGTGCCGTTGGCAGGTAGAAGAATGGAAAGGTGATTAGGGTATTAGCACTGGGGCGATCCTGCTAAGGCTTGCTCATCAGTTTCACTAATTACAGAGTCGGCACTTTCATTGTCAACGGATGGCTATGGAGTCATTCCAAGGCTACCGGGTTCCCTTTGTCTTGTATATGTGAAGGGGTTGGTTTGGTGCCTAGTTGAATTGTCATTAATAGAGCTCTTC